GCTCCACCCTGCTGCTGAGACAGGACAGCCCCTATTCCAAAGATACTAGCATCGGTATTTAGTATGAACTGGGCTGTCATGGAAGAGTACGTGAGAATTGGTGACGAAACTAGTATGCGTTTCAGGGCATCAAACGCCAGTTGGCATTCGTTTGACCAGTCGAAAGCACACCGCATCTCCGTCACTTTTATGTAGTGGTCTGGCCAACTTGGAAAAACCCTGCACAAATCGACAATAATAAGACTGTGGAGTTCATGCACACTAATAGGAACAGACCAGTCTTGGACTTTCTTGACCTTTGCCGGGTCTGTCTTTACACCTTCGTCCAACACAAGATGTCCGAGGTAGGCCACTTGTCGTTGAAACACGTGACATTTCTTGGGCTGTAGTTTTAATCCTGCTGCCTAGATCCTTGCCAGAATTTGCTGTAGGCGCTCTAGGTGTTCTTCAAAAGTACGGCTGTAGACAATTACGTCATCCAGATAGACAAGTCTGCCACTGCGGAGGACTCGTTCCATAAGTCGTTCAAACGACAACGGGGTATTACACAGTGCAAAGGACATTCCCTAAAACTGGTTAAGGCCACAGTGGGTTCCAAACGCCGTCTTCTCTTTATGATCCTCGTCCATGGGCAGCTGCCAATAACCTAATGCAAGATCTAGCGTCGTGAAGTACCTGGAGCCAGAGAGGGTGTCTAGGGTTTCATCGATACGCGGAATAGGGTGTGCATCTTTCAGTGTCACAGCATTCAGGAACCTGTAGTCCACACAGAGCCTTACACTGCCATCTGTCTTCCGGACCAGTACAACGACAGAGCCCAAGGTCCCAAAGCTGGCTTAACAAAGCCACTTTCAGCATTGGCACAACTTCCTCCTCCACCACAGCTCTCTGATGAATTGGCAACCGTCTGGCTGGTTGCTTAATTGGAGTGGCAGATCCCGTTTCAATTTGGTGCTTAGCCAGGTTTGTACAGCCCAAGTTCTCCGCCCGACTGAGCATTGGTGCTGAAAACCGCACCAACAGTTCTTTCAGATGGATTGTCTGATCCCCTCTAGGGTTCCACAACCCCTTTGGTAGAAGTCTTCAAGATGAGGTGGAAGTGGAGACTTTTCTTCCGGGTGGCCAGTTTTGTTTCCTCCCACGTTGACCAAGTTTAAGTGCTTATAGGGTCGTCATGAGAGTCAGTATTGATTCAGTGTTGTTACCAACTTTTTCGAAAGAACGACCGAGAAGGTTGCGATAGAATTGTAAGCTAACTGTTGACTGAATTGGAGAATGAAAAGCAGACTATTATACTAATACTGAATACTGAGGAGCTGTACAATGATGCAGCACTTATATATAGTTAGAAACAGAAAGGAAACTTAAGAAAGGAAAGTCTTAGTCACATGTCTTAGCTGCATTCTTAGAACAATGACTGTGAATGAATAATTTCACCTTAAAGCGAAGTCCTTGATGGATGATAGTACAAGCTTAAATGAAGTATCGTGAAGTGTGCCTAGCCTCTGGGCTAACAAGGTCAAATAGGCGGAAACAATATACACTGTACAAGACACTGCGTGGGTATACTCTTACAAGGAAAATGCAGTAAGTAATGTGTCTAAAATGGCAAACAGGATATATACGGGAAATGAAAAAGTTATCAAAGTTAAAAATGAAGATTCTGAGAGCTAAATTCACTAAAAGAAATAAATGCAAATAATTCAAGTAATTGTGCAGAAAACGCTACATGCTCTATCACTTCGGGCTGCCATGCAGGTTGCCCGTCAGTATAGCGGGCATCAACTGTGACATCAACTGTGTGGAGTGTCCTTCACAGAGTGTCACAGGATCGCTGATTGGATTTACCATTCTTACTGGCACTGTCTCTTCCTTCATATTAACTAGCGACGAGGCAACCATCAGGTTTCCCCTTTGAACCTGCCCAAGTGCGGGTTCAATCACCCCATAAGCCACACCAACGTGACTTCCTCCCAGGCGTCCGGCAGTAACCATCTCAGTCTGCTGAGGGATGATGACTGTTTACTTTACATTCATGCGGTAACATTTCTGGTGCTCCTCAGTATTCCCAGGGATATTTTGGTTCCCCTCCATTCCAGACTTTTCCTGTTGATGTAAATGATGCAGCTCTGCTCGCAGAAACTTCAACTCCCAAGAGAACATCTTTGCTAATATCAGCTTAGCAGGACCGGTTAGCAAAACTGCTAGGTACTGCAGCTTACCCCTTTCACTACCAAGACATATTTCTCAATTATGAATTGGTGACCACACTCAGTACACTGTCATGACAAGCTCGTGAACGGCTGGACCGTACAACCTGTGTAATGCTACACGGAGACAGTCTGCCCGTGCCTAACATATAGCAGCATACAAAGTGCCCTATAGCAACACACACCAAAGCGAGAACAAGAAGAACTCATGTCTACACAGCTTCGCTGAACTAGCATAATGATACAAAGAGCCAGCTAGCTCCACCTACGTGCTAGCTCGCCTTGATCACGCGCAAACCAAAGAGCTTACTACCTACACAGAGTGCTATACGCTCCGCCCATCCTGACGTAACAGGACATGTACACACTACACCAGTCATCATTATTATGCACAACAAAGTTACGAAAGTTTGTACACTTTCTGCTACACCACTTTGACGTCAGCATGCCAACCATGTGCTAACGTGTTGGCGATTGGTTATAACTGACGTCACGCTGCTGACGCTACGCTGACATAAGCATACAAGATACACTTTGATGTCGGCATGCCAACTAGAGTATCCAGTTTGTAAGTGTGACGTCATTTCAGTTTAAACCACGCCCACTGCACGTACACTGCACATAAAGTTACATCCATTGATTGCTCTTTATATGGATCCATATGGAACTAGAAGTTAACGTGCAACTTCAGCGATCATCCAAAGGGAGACCACAAATCGTGGCGTGTCCGCCTTTAAGACGAATGAAGTCACTTAACGAACCGAATACCAACGTTGCACAGATGCTAAGATACAGTATGCAAGTTGATGTCAGCATGCCCCATATATGCGCCGATGTTGGCGATTGGTTTGTATACATGTATTTCACATTGGGATATGCCAGCTGTGTGCCAACGTTGGTAATGAGTTCGTATATATATTCACGGACCCTCTACTCAAACGTTTCAGTAGAGGTTCCATGGTATATTTGGCGTCAAATACGTTGCGCGTTAGTGTTATACAGTGTCGTATTATCCAGCCAGCTGCCGGATAGGTTTACACCCCAAGCGCAAGGCTCTCACTAATACGACCGAATTAACAGACGACGACACTGTCTCTGTTGTTTGCTCTATAACTGACTAAATCTTTATTGAAGCTAGCTCTCCTCAAAAACTGATGTCAGTGAGTGTAATCCGATGGGTCGATGGACTAATTTGATGGATTGACGGACCCCTGTAATATTAGGGAAAAACACATTAACATGTAGATAATACAGCAATTATTACATACACATTGCATGGTGCAAACAGTGTGTACACACGTACACTTGTAGCTGTTAACAGTTAGGATCACTGAAGGAATAACACTTTCTTGAGCGGACAGTCTTTGTCTTCAAACCCAAAACATCTAAGGTGACAGTCTACACATAAAACACCATAAAATGACTTACCGCACACAAAGTAAAAAACTCTTAATCTCTGTTAGTGGACATGTACTAACTTTGAAATCTGGCATACAAAATAATGTAAAAATACTTGCAAAAGTCACAGTGTGATACTGCTTGGACTATAAATATATAATTCAGGAGCTAACCTGGATATGATAAGCTTCAATTAAACATATTCAGACGCCTCTTGAGCTGTATAATAGAACAGACATTTAGCCTTGCAAGGTGTCCAAACATCATCATCAATCACAAACTAGGGCATTGTTAAATTGAGTGTGCGAAACAAGGGGGTAATCAGAACAAGTGGAAGAAAGTTCACTGTTTTACATCATAAAAACAAGCAATACAAGTCCATCAACATTAGAAGTAACACAGTTTACAATATACTAAGTCGTCAAAATAAACTCAAAATGAAGTTACATACATGAAAATTACAACTAGAAAACTAAGGACAGCAACTCACTCCATATTGTTACATGGAGCTGTGTCAACTTGAGTGTCCGGCTATTGACCAGTGGTCTGCTGGGTGGTTTGGGGGCACATGAATTCTGGCCCTGGCATAGGCCTTTAAATGCCCTTTGGAATCTGTTGATGGACATCTGTCAAGAATACGATTGGTCTTTCACATGTTTGACCAAACCTTCCTCAAAATTTTATTTGCATGTGAACGTCCCCATCAGTCAAATCTTTTTTCAGCGTGTAACTCTGCTAATCAGCAGAATCAGCAGATTTGATCCCAGGTCCCAACAACCTGCAAACCCCATTTTGATTAATATCCCAAACAATTGAAACTGACATTCTGTTTTTAAAAATACTGGGACCGTGGGAAAGTTACCCTAAAAACAATGGATTGGGTTAGCAAGTGGGGGTTAACATTATGACCTCCATCATTGCATACCGCAGATGGTTCCATTTGGGTTACATACGGTTGGAAAATATCCTTGGTACAAGGGAAGTAGAATAAGAAAAGCAAGATAACCCACCAGAAATGTACATTTTGTCATTTCCTGACATACAGTATGCATGACTTTCGGGTTTCACCGTCGTGCTGATGTTGGTGGATTGTTGTGTATTTTGAGAGGTTTTATATGCCAACGCAAATACGTTTTTTCGATTTTGTGAATAAAAAGAGAAGGCAACTTGTTAACGTGTCAACTATGAAGGTACACCTTTTATAATACTTGGAGTCTGTTAATTCGAACACTCTAACAGCAACGTTACAGTTACAGTTTCGGCACGATTCGAGAAACCATTGGTGAACTGCAGCTGTGGTCATGTACTGGTAGCCAACATAAGGCTTCATTATTGCCATGACGTCTCATCTTTTTCGCCACATGGTAATAGTACACGCATAATACTAGGAAAGAAGCTGCAGCACATACAAATTTTATTAAATAACCATGTGCGTGAATACATGACTTATTCTTGACAAAATGCTTCACATCAGTGAAAAAATTCATTGCTTAATTGTGTTTAGTTTATCTCTATCAGAGAGCTCTATGTTCACGGAGGACAAGGTGGTTTCAAAAGTAAGCCACTTTTCAGGCTTTTTTGAGATAACTGTTCATGCTTTTATACAAGAATTAAATGCACAATAACCTTAAGTTATTAAGATGTCCTCTGCTGACTGAAATACTCGCAGTAATTTGTGCACCAGAATTAACTGCCATTACAAGTAAACTCATGGTAAAGGAGTGAAATTTAGCTGCCAATTCATTAATGAATACAAGAAAATTTAATGGAGAACAAATACATCTATTACATAGCCATATTTGTACAACAGGTCCTCCAGATCTGTTGCTTTGTCAACAGGCTATCTTCAGATCCTGAGTCCTGTCCCCACCAATGCTCTTCCAACCAGCTTTCCCTCAACTGCCCATACTCTCTTTGCAAGACATCTGCCAGAGTTATCTCGCTACTCAGCTCATGCTTGTCATCAGTACCCTGTTTTATGTACAGTACAATATTGGTTCTTGTAAAAATTTCCTAACCCAAAATTCAGAGAAAAAGAAGCAAGCAACTGTGAAAGTGTGTTCAACGTGATCATTGTTTACTGGTGAGAAGATAAATTACATGTACCACACGGCGATTGTACCAATGCCGTGCTTTTTTCATATAACCAACATTTTGCCTGTACTTAACAAAGGCACTGGCGAACCCAAAAAAATTGAATAACGCTTTACTAACAGAAAGTGATAACCTCACAGTCACAAGTCGTGCACAATGTGGCCAATCAAAGGCCATCAGCCCTTTCCACAGTCCTACCCATAGAGCCGGCCACTACCTAGGCATATTTCCCTAGAGGGTGCATTACATCTGCTAAGAGTTCACACAATAGGCTACCAAACGTGCCTTGCGACATGCCCACCATCTTATCTTCTCCTTTTCTCTTGGCAGTGAATGGTGCCAGATCGTAAAATTTCCCGGCTCACATTTCTCTGGTTTATCTCCACCATCCTTTATCGATATCGGCTTGTATATAGGTTACAAAGTGTATGTCCCCCATACCAGTTAATCTCCTGACCTTTGTACCGCAAGGTGAAAGATGACCTGACAGATCTCCTCAATCGGGGATTGATCCAGAAATCTTCATCCAACTATTCCTCACCAGATGTGTGCACAAGGACAAAGGACAGCTCCCTCAGACTTTGTGTTGACTATAGACAACTAAATTTGAAGACCATTTCAGACAGGCAACCCATCCCACGCATACAGGATATTATGGCGCCGGCGGGTTCGGCCGGTGGGGGCGCCAGCTCAGACGCGCATGGAACTAGCTTGCTGCCCCCGTTGGTATGCGAACGGCCTGCGGCTTTCCCGCCTCGCACCTGCGCAGTCCCCGTCTAGACACCTCGTGTTAGCAGCTTTGTGTGTCGGACAGCCCTTTTGCTTTTGTCAAAATAAGCAGAGCAGTTTTGTCCGGAACGGAAATTTTGAGCCAGACCGAGTCAGCGTCAGAGCCCATATACAGGACACACTACAACTGGTGGCAGCAGCGAGACGCTGGATACAAGAAAATCAGGTAAATTCTTCGCCTTTTCTGTGCCATGGATTTGGTGAATGATTTGGGTCGGGTGCCGGACTCGCTGGACAGCGGCAGCACTCACCTGGGTTGGTGGGCGAGCTGGATTCGTTCCTCGCGGGGAAATCTGGAACAGTTATCCAGGAGCTGGGGGTGGAAATTTGAGGGTATCGAGTGCGCGGTGTGGGAACATTTTTGGTTAGGAGAATGGGCCACTCCTGCGCAGTCCCCGGGCGACTTCCCCCCTCTCAAAGTCGATGGGGCGAGGAAGGTGCGGTTCTGATTGGAGTACAACCATTTCGCCCTGGTTGCTGAGAATTAGGGGGCGGGGCATTGCCCCGCGACATCCCCCAACCCCTCACTAGTACGCCCATCACCGGCTTCCATGGGGCGCCCTCTGGCGGCGGGGCACACTGGGAGAAGCATTCCAGTTGGAGTGGCGTCAGGGTGGGCCCGCTGCTGAGGGGTCCCGATGGGAGCCGGTTGGAAATTCATTCATGTCTTGTGGTAGCGTTGGGGCACCCTCTCGCAGTACCGTGGTGGCCGAAAGAACGTTCCTCTCGGAGCGCGGCCGGACGGCTGCCGAGGGGTTGGAGCCCCGGCGCGAGATAGCTGAAGCTTGTAATACTGGTTATAGTATTGGGGCGTCCTCTTGCAGCGCCACGGTGGCTCAGGAAGCTTCCCACTTGCGGGGCCCCGGTGTGAACTGATGGGAGCTAGCGGGCCAGTAGCAGATTTCGGGGTGCCCTCACGCACCGGGGATGTGGCTGGCGTGGTGCACCGCCTGGAGCGCTGTGAGGCCGCGGCCACGGTCGTCAGGAGGGGGTTTCGAGATGGGCTAGTCATAGAGTTTGTGAGATATATAGTCAGATGCGGGCACCCCCAAATTGCGATGGTTGGCACGATTATGGCGCATCCCCACTTGGGGATCCGCACGCGTCTGCGTGAGGTGGATCCCCCTCGGATCCATGCACAGACACACGAGGCGCATCCCCACCCAAGGATCCGCACACGCTTGAGGCGGATGCCTCGATTTTGGACGGGTTTCCCGAGGTCTTGGAACTGAGCAAGCTAGCTCAGGAGCAGCAGGACGACCCGGAACTGGGACCGGTCTGTCAGTGGCTAGTGGCAGGGAGCGACCTGCCTGAGTGGGAGGACATCTCCGACCTCGGCGCCGGGGTCAAAAGCTGGTGGTCCAGATAGGACACACTGCGCCTATTCCGAGGAGTCTTGCAAGTGAAGTGGGCAAGGGCAGACTGGGGGCCCCCACCTGGAAGATTGCCGTCCTGCAGACCAGGGTGCCCGAGGTTTTACTTCTTGCCCACAATCACCGAACTGCTGGACACCTCGGGCCCGACTCAGGCAGGCTCCTGTGTATTGGAGGGATATGACACGGCAGGCTGAGGAGTGGTGCCAGAAGTGTCATCTCTGTGGTTCTAAGAAGTCCCCGCCTCGTCCCTGGAGAGCTCTGCTCCGACAATACCTGGTGGGGGCCCCATGGAGCAGATCACCATTGACCTCACTGGATGTCTGCCCCGAACCAAGGCCGGGTACACCAGCATAATACGAAGTGGGTGGAGACGTTTCCCCTTCCGGATCAGACGGGCGAGACCTTGGCCAAGACCCTCCTGGAGCAGGTGATCACAGCAGGTGATGCTACCTGGGCAATGTGCAGCTCGGATGGTGGGAGCGCGCGGCCCGCAGAGCCCTGGCTGTAGAGGCGCCCGCGCGGGTGGGGGGACAAGAGCCAGCGGATCCGGCCCCTGGTCCTGCCTGCAGGGGCCATCTCCCCCGTTGACAAAGCTGGGCCGGAGCGGCGGCGTGTTGAGCGGGGAGAACTCAGACACAAGCAGCCAGGGCATGACTTGCAAGGGGCGGTGGATTCAGCGCCTGGTGCGATTCTGCTCCACGCTAACTCCTGAATCTCCCTCTCCCCATATGGACCGGTTGGCATGCCCCCACTGTCAGCAATAATTCCGCCAGCAGAATTATTGGGGGGACACCTGAGGTCGGCTTGTCCGGAGCTATTTGCTGCCTGGCCCTATACCTGTGAGCGGGGGTGTGGCCACTGCTTCTACCGATCAGCACCACCGACACTGTGACCACGTCCTTGTCCCTCAGGTCTGGGCAGAGGATCCTGACGTCCTGGAGGTCTTCGCCAGTGATGGGGAGTTGGGGGGTGACGAGTTCCCCATGGAGCAGTCACCCCCCCCTGCCTGTCCTCCGGAGGGAGCCACCCAGACCCGCCCCCGGTCAGCTGCTGCGGGTGAGCCCTCGCCGCTGATGCCCTCTCGGTGCCGAAGGCGGGGGTAGCGGGGTGGGCCGGATCGATGAGACTTTTCTGTGCCATGGATTTGGTGAATGATTTGGGTCGGGTGCCGGACTCGCTGGACAGCGGCAGCACAGGCCAGCGCGGGGGCCCAGCAGTCGGGGCCCAGACTGCGAAGGCAACGTGGAACTCACCTGGGTTGGTGGGCGAGCTGGATTTGTTCCTCGCGGGGAAATCTGGAACAGTTATCCAGGAGCGGGGGGTGGAAATTTGAGGGTCAGAGCCTATAGACAGGACACGCTGCAATGTGCTCAATAGCCTTGAGGCAACAGGTGGTTTTCGACTCTTGACCAAGGCAAAGCCTATCATCAGGGGTTCACGGCAGAGGAGAGCCATCATCTTACTGCTTTTGTGACTCCCTGAGTCCATGAGTGGATATGCATACCTATATGCTCAAATGTGCACCAGCTGCCTTGATGAAACGAACGACCAGATGTGCAGAGTGTACCGGGACGATGTCCTTGTCTACAAAGCCACATTTGAAGGCCATACTGAGAGGGTGAGAAAGGTTCCCCGCCGGATGCAAGAACATGACATGAAGTTGAGGCCCAGTTAAAGTGTGCACTGTTTCAGCCACAAGTGAAGCATACTTTCAGCAGATGGTCAGTGCCTGTACAGACCTGGGCACTGAGGCCCTGAGACAGAAGCGACCTGCCACAGTCACGGAGGTTCACCAACTTTTGAGGCTCCTGGGATATTATCAGCATTATGTGCCTAACCTGTTCCAACATGCTAAGGTTCTGTATGACCTGCTAAAACAAGACGAAGCTCAATGTCCACACCAGGACCAAAGTCGAGGGAAAATGTTTAAGAACGAAAACAGCAGAGGCCAGAGACGAAAGAATAATCCTATCAGATGGGAGACCGTCCACCAGGATGCCCTTGAATCAATACTTGACTGTGTGAATAAAACATCAGTCGTGGTGTACCCCAAATTTGCCCCCCCTTTGTACTTCACACAAATGCCTCTCAAGACTGACTCGGCACTATTCTCTACCAAAAGCAAGATGGGAAACTAAAGGTTGTTGGTTTTGGGTCCAGGACACTGACACCGGCTGAGAAGAATTACCATATGCATGCAGGAAAGCTTGAATTCCTCAGTCTAAAATGGGCAGTAACAGAGCACTTCTCAGATTACCTCTACTATGCTAAGCAGACGACTGTGTATGCAGACAACAATCCCTTAACATATGCTGAGGGATTCCATGGGACACTGCTGGGTTGTGGAGTTATCTGGTTTTAACCTGGAGATCAGATACTGCCCAGGAAAGGCCAATGGAGATGCAGACACCTTGTCATGAATCCCTCAAAGCTTGGAGCAACTGGAAAGTGTTAACACTGAAGCTGTTCCCATGGATGTGAAGAAGGCAACCAGTCAAGGGATTACCACCCAGGTCAACGGCCAGACTGTCTGAGCAAAGCCCTTATCTATTGATGATCCCACTCCGGAAACGCCAATTCACCAGTTCAGTAAACAGTGATTTAAGCTGGCCCAGGAAAATGACGGTACCAAGAGATTTTTACACTACAAGAACTTAGGAAGGTTACCCACTCGGAAGGAACAAAAAAGAGAGACAAATTAGGTCAAGACACTCATCCATGAGTGGGGAAAACTCCAAGTAGATGGTGATGGTATAGTCTGGTGGAAGACTGGAAACTACAATGTAAAAGTATAGGTTAATTGTCCATTCTGGGCATGAAGGAAAAACACAAACATCCAGGCCAACCCCGGCTGCTGATTGACCAAAACTTACACACACTCTATCATTAACCACATGCACTCAAATATGTTCCTAAATGCACAATACAATCTTTAACTTACAAAACATCACTAAAAAACAGGCTGACAATTTCCCAGTGAATAGGCTAATTACTTCCTATGAACTACTCATCAAATTACCATCAAGGATCAAATAAGTTTCATCATAAGTGTACTCCATAATTTTATGAACTTCCTTCTACTGGGCCCATGCATACAACTGCACATACAAGAGCATTGTACCTTACTTGCATGCCTTCTGTACTGACATGGGCCATAAAAATCCTTGTATACTTTGACACAGTTACTCCTAAATCACCTTACAAATACCACTTTCGAAAATGCTTAATTTCGGTCAAAACTGTCATCAAGCGAATCTATAACCATCAGTGGATAAAATAAGATAGATAAGCAACTATTCCATTAACAGGTAAAACATAAAGCAAAGGAAATCATGATGAAACAGTTTAGTACAGTTACCTGTGAAAGTTGGGCAGGCACTGCCACGGGGTCGCATGGTCTTGGGCATGCAGTTTAAACACATGTACATGTACTTCATGTCTAACAAACAGTTCAGGCAAATATGCAGGGCCTGGGTCTATGACACATCGGGATTAAGCACAACAAAAATTGAGAAATAATGTGTAATTTCAATAATTCAAACCCTCAAATAATGTGCCTTATTTCAAATTCAGTGGTGTTTCAAACTACATGTTCAACATTACACATGTCAGAGAATGTTTGTTTCCCATGACCTCCAGTAAGTTTTGGTGAGTTACAGCTAGGATGGCAGAACAGCAGTAGAAGTGAGTTCAGTTCATGTACACTTTGGAAACAGGGATTTAGAATTAACATAAGAACTAGGGTTATAAGTTATAGTTATAACTAAGTAAAGGTAAGAATAAATGGAAAATCGTAACACGGATAAGATTATATCAGAAATTTGGTTGCATGGGACCTCTTCCTACACCCATCCAGAGGGAAATTGCTATAGAGAACCCCCCAAAAAGTGGAATATACCAAAGACAGCAGGGGGAGTGCATGTGATTGTGAGTGTGCCTGATTGCTTTGATATATTTTGCCAAAATAATCAGACATCTTCAATATGGGGACGGTCTTCTTTTGTCTTTGTCCTATCCAGGTATGAGCCGATTTCTTTCTTTTAGATGTACCGGTAGCTTCGAGAAGTTCTATTTCTGTTGATAAGTTGGCTGAATACATTGTAAGTGCAATTGTGTAATTTTGTCTCTTTTATTATTCTCTTCCCAAGTTACAGATTGACCGATAATTGAATGAAATTAAGTAATAAATTAATGTTGACTGACAAGATTGATCTTTGTTTGTGACTGTAATATTGAATATAATATTTTCAATAGCTTTTACATAGATCATTCATACATGATATTTTGTCTCACAAATATGCTATTTGTTTGTGGAAAGTCCTTTCAGTTAGGAACAGTGTGGATTTTATTTGCAAAGTTCCTGGGAACATATTCTCATTACAAAGGTTTGATTAATGTTTGTGTATCGATCAGGCATGTTGGAGTAATTTGTAGTGCTAGATCACTAGGTTTCGCATTGAGGCCGCACAAACTTTCCACTACGCCCAGTGCCTGTGCAGAGTCTTAGCTGAAGTAAGGCACGGCCATGGTGCAGTGGGAATAATATATTAGGCATACAGTGGAAAGTTGCCCCAAAATGAGGGACTTAATTGGCCAGCCAGTGGAAGTTGTGACCCCATGGACTAGCTAGGAGTCGGGGTAGCTAGGGGCAAGAGGTTACGAAGTTATGTTCCCCTTGAGGTTATATACATGCAGTGTATTCAGTTGGCCACCAGTTTTAAAGTGGTGTTTGTCGCCAAGTCCCAGTATAATGGCTATACTGATTTGATGCTTACAGCTTTGGAAAATCAACTATATTCTTTTTTGTTTGCGTGTCGGATTAAAATACTTTCATATGTTTTGCCAAAGTGATCGGATATCCTCAGTATGGTCTTCTGTCTTTGTCCTATCCAGATGCACTGTAAACGTTACCAAAAAATTGTAACGTAACACAAGTGTCCTTGAAGATTTAGCAGAGGAACACATGGCTTGATACATGGAGGAAGGAAGACAAAATTGGACAGGGTAGCCAACATACATGTACTATTATTGCTATGACGTCACATCTTCTTTGCCACATGGTAATAGTACATGCACGATGTTAGGAAAGAAACTGCAGCACATACAGTTCTTATTTGTGGGGCTAGCATTGGTTCAATTTTGGTTGGATAATTATATTGTGAATTGTTCAGTTTTTAATATGTAATTACTCTCTGTTTCATACATGGACATGTTTATTTTTTTGAGAAAAACTAATAAAATACCCGTTTTTAATCAGGATTCCATGGGGAAAACTTAACTTATCTTGTGTGAATGCATGACTTATTCTTGACAAAATGCTTCACATAAATGAAAACAAAAACATTGCTTAATTATGTTTACTTTTCTTTATCAGAAAGCTTTGTGTTTACGGAGGACATGGTGGTTTCAAAGGTAAGCCAGTTTTCAGGATTTTTAGGTAACTGTACATGCTTTTATACAAGAATTAAATGCACAATAACCTTACATTATGTTCTCTGTTGACTATGAAAATACTCGCAGTGCAACATTTTTAATTGCCATTATATAAGTAAACTTAAGGTGAAGGAATGAGTTTTAGCAGCCAATTGAAAGCCAATTTATTAATGAATACTAGAAAATGAAATGGAACAAAAAATACATATATTACAAAGACATATTTGTACAACAGGTCCTCCAGATCTTCAGACGCTGAGTCCTGTCCCCACAATGTTCTTCCAACCAGCTATTCCTCAACTGCCCGTACCCTCTTTGCACGACACCTGCCAGCGTTACCTCACTGCTCAGCTCGTGTTCCTCAGCCCCAAAGAATATGCCAAGACGCAGTCCCTCGTTGATGAATTTCAGAAGGGGGCAGGTGTTGGTGAGTTGGAAATTGCATCTGTTGGTAGTAAGAGAACCAGGTATCCTGTTTTATGTACAGTACAGTCTGGGTACTTGTAAAAGACTCCTAACCCAAAAGGCTGAAAGAAAAAGCAACTGTGAAAGTTGGTTCAACTTGCCACGTGCATCTTACTCAAAAGGTTCATCAATTACCTTTCTAGATAAAATTGAAGTCCATTTAAGTATTCCGCATAGCCAGTTTTCATGTTAAATATCTCGCGAAATATTCTTGTTTGAAAAGTTACAAAATAATTTCTAAAGTTGGTTACAGGAAATACTTGTAAGTCTATTATTTGGACATCAGTGGTCAGGTTCATGCATACATAAGTTACAATCTATAATTTTTGGTGCTCATTTCTAGACCTCAACAAGGAATTGGTCGAACTGAACAAGAAAAACAGCCATTTGAGCTACTCAACGGGTAGGTATGCCCGAGACCATGCAGTTTCTTTTTCTTCTGTTCTTTTTTCTTTTTTTTTTTCTATTTAGGTTTTATTTTGTTTTGGCTTACCTATTTTGGTTTTCTCCTGTTTTTGACCCTGTTGGTATGTTGGTATGTATGAATGATACATTTTCTAATGCTGATATGACCTGAATTGTTACAAAGTCTTCATGATCAGTCTTTTCTTGAGAGGTCATTTTCACCGTGCATTGTGGGAAATGGTTGACTATTTGTTCACAGACTGCAGGAATTTGAATTTTCTTGATGTTTATTGGCCCAGATAGTGGAATTATAAGTCTGTTTTGAGTGTCAGTTGCACAGAATACCCAGTCTTTCAAACTTCCATGCATAGCCCTCTTTTTAACCTTCACTTATCACTCAGCCCCTTGTTCGGGTACTGGGAAGGGCTAATGGCCTTGCACAGATTAAAGTGAGGGAAATACTTCACATGGAGTCACAGCTAACGATGTGCAAGGCATTGTGGATAAATTTCTGCCAGGTCTGTGAGCTTGCTCAATGCGTAACACGAGCGACAGTTATCAATTTGATATTTTTCTTTTTCTTCCTCATTGCTGAAAATATTCTCACTACAGGGTATAATTTGTTCATCCAAAAAAATAGCCAGTGATTTGAAATATATCGCCAAAAGACGCGTGATCATGCATTGTTACTGGTGACAAGATAAATTACCGCACTGTGATATTATGAAGTGACAGAGGGTGCTAGTCACTAGGTGCGGGGTGAAGTTATGGATGGCGCTCTGCCCAGTAACAGGCAGATGTTAGGCACGCTTAGCTGTGTGTTAAGCAAGCGCGGCACATAGGCTCTGCCTTGGTTAACAAAAGCCACTGCCTGGTCACATTTAGCACCTGCATGCAGGCATAGTTGCAGCAGTGGCCAGCTTGCGAAGCTATATAAGGGGCGCGTAGGTAAGGGCCAGTCGTGCTGAATCAAGGGTTGATCCTAGGTAAGGTTCGAGAATCCTGTGCAAAATAAATGTCACCCAGCCTAGCGTGACTGTGAGGGGCTCGAGGTTGAGGGGCTAATTGGTGGTGCCCTATAGTTCCTGATAGGAGCTTGCGGTCTTGATAAGGGCAGATTTCTATCTCATATGATGTGAGTTGCGTGTAGCGCAGCCCCGACACTAAACCCCGTAGACTTGCTCAAATCCCTGATTCGGCACTGGATGCTCACAATTAATTGCAGTGTTCGCTGCTCTGGGTGAAGTCCAGTCACGTATAATCATACAGTCTCCCTGTAAATAGCGCCCTCTACTGGTGTATTTGTTGTGCATGATTGAAGGAGCATTGATAAATAAACCAGCCACCTTGATTGTTGTATATGAGGCAAGTGTCCAGACGAAGTTTAATTCAAGTCATTTCTGTCCGGGTGGCGTTACTAAGCTTTGGGCCAGTCAGAAGACCAGAGATCATCGAACTTTCTTGGGGGACAGTACACTTCCATCCCAACAGACTCATCCCTAGCCGCCTAGGGACCGTCTGGTACATGCCGTCTGCCATCACGCCTTGAGGAGGGGGTGCCCTCACCTTCGTCGGAGGGGCGTGGCATCATAATATTGTACCTAGGCCCTGTTTTTATAACCTTGAACATTTTACCTATGCCAAAACATTGCCACTGGTGAACCTAAAAAATTAAATAACGCTTTACTAAAAAACAGGAAGTCAAACCTCGCAGTCACAAGTCGTGCACATTGTAGCCAATCAAAGGCCCATCAGCCCTCCCCAGTGCCGTACGTGTTCAGGCACTGGGTGATGAGCAAAATCTTATCCTTGGAGCCGGCCACTACCTAGGCATATTTCCCTAGAGGGTGCATTACAAATGAAATTCACTCAATAGGCTACCAAAGGTGCCTCGCGATATGCCTGCCATCTCCCCCTTTTCTCTTGACGTGGAATGGTGATAAATCATCAAATTTCCCGCTTTTACTTTTCTTGGGTTTATCTCCACCATCTATTATCCACTTGTATTGATTTCATCAATTTAATGAAGAGTAGATTTCACCTTTGCCTTTTACATCTTCCTATCTTTGTTTTTGCTCTTGTAAGTACATATTTTTGTTATTTCTTTCTACACGTTTGGTTGTGGAAAGATCCCTGAAGAGGAGGTTGGGTAGAGCCACTGTGGACACGGAACCCAGCTTCTATTCACCCATTGCCTGGGATCTCGGGAGGGCGACCCAGTAGGTCGGGAACCGGGCCTCAGGAAGCTTGGCCGCCCCACCGGCTGCTATTTTTGGGGAACGATAGCTGATAGAGAAGTTCACCAGTAACAGCCACCAACATTGGACTACAGCAGTAAGCTTCAAGGACAAGTCGGGTAGGGACACTGTGGGCCCTGTGGACACGTACGGGACCCCTGGCCATTGTAGAGGCACAAGGTCGAGAGGCATAATTACCCTCCCTCGAGAGGCAGCCCCCTCCCCATCATTTCCAGGCCTCAGGACGAGCTCTGTGTCCGAAGGCCATACCTGATTTAATTGGGCGATCGAACGAACACAGCCCACGAGTCCCCAGCGGGAAAGATTCCATGGTTAGCTGTTTCACAACCCGACCCCACACCCACCAACCCACCTCTGGCTTGCCAGTGGGTATATGCCCGGCAAGGTATGGGATGGAGGAGGGGTAACTCTTTAGAAGTGTTGTATAAGAAAGAAACAATGTTGACAACAGGTACTAACTTTTGAGAAAGGAACTTTTATTCTAAACTATTTTCAGCTTGCACAAGAGAGAGTGGGAGTACTGTGCACAGAGATGTTGCTTGGAGAGTGGTTGTGATGAGACTGGCTAAAAATGACCAAGTGGTGAAAATAGGGCTGGGAACACAGGCCATGTACACTTCTTTTGTGACTTGTTTTCTTGTTCTTTGGACAATTATATTCTGACTCGCAGCCTCTCTGGGTGGCACCCCCATGCTGGGCCTCGTTACTGCATGGTCCATTACACCATCACCTTCAGAACGTTTTCGTGTTACGGAAACTCCCATGGTTCTGCCCGTATCTGAACCTGCCTCAGAAGAGCAGCACAGTCACCTGGCCAAGAAAGGGAAGTCCACTGTAAAAAACGCTGCAGCCCGTTGGCTTCTGAGTTGTTCTCAGACCGATCCTCGCACCAAATCAAATGCAGTAAGTGCTTGGGATGTTTCCTACCAATTTCTTTAAGGCCTTTCAGGCATTCTTGGCCTCCATCTTGGCCATGACTGGTACAGGTTTCCCTGCGGGGCAACTTGCCCCATTGGCTGGATAGCTTGCGCCAACTTGGGTCATCTCCAGCAGATAGCTCAAATATAGGCATGCTAAGTGCATTCAGCTATTTCTCAGGGAGACGTCAGCCCCAGCAGAAGCGTTGCTGAAGCTACTGGGACTCATGGTGGATCTCGCTCCACACTGCCAACTTCGAATGCACCCACTCCAGCTCCACCTCCTTGCACATTATTGCCTGAACCACCACTCGATCTGTCATATGGTTCCGGTCGATTCCTTCCTACTACTGCACCTCCATATATAGATTTTCCCCATAACCAACAGTCATAACTACGGATGCATTCTATCTTGGCTTGGGTGCCACACTTCACCCATACCAGATGGCAGGGAATTAAGTGGATCCTAGATCCAGGCAATTTACGCATCAGTGTCCCAGAGATGCATGCATTCAGTGCCGCCCAATATTTCAAAGGGTTCATCCGAGGCCATCCACTCCTCACCAAATGCGACAATTCTTTGTGGTGGTGCACATCAACCATGAGGGAGGCACAAGGTCAGCCCAATTCTAACTTCTCGTATGGATATATGCTCCATTGGTGTCAGGAATCTGGTAAAACTCCGATAGCTAGATAGGCATACAAGGACAACACTGTGGCCCGTGGAATGAACCTTACAGCCTAGCATCGCCAAACAGATTTTCCTGACCGTTGATTGCCTCGCATAGATGTGTTTGCATCAGGGGCAACAGCCAACTACATGTACAGTTTTTTTTACTCTAGACTATACGCCCCGACCCTCGGGCATGGCACACCAATATGCCCTATCAATCCCGTGGACCAGTATGTTAGCAGACACATTTTCTCTGATATCCCTGATCACACTTGTACTTACAAAACTGGAAAGAGAACATTGCTGAGTCCTTCTCAACACCCCTTCTAGCCATGACAATCTTGGTTCCCATATGTATCAATCTGTCAGTCCACAAGCCGCTAGTACTTCCAAACTGTCCAGACATTCTGTTTCAACCAGAATCAAACATAATTCACCCAGCTCCCGAGAGTCTTCACCTGCGTGCTAGATCATTGTCAAAGAATCAGTCTGAACAGCAGGCCTTTCGGCAGATCTGCCTCTTTTGCAGCACGATGTCATCCAACATCAAACAAGATCTACAACAGCTGTCGCCGGCAATTAACATTACCATAAAATGTAGACAGAAAACTTTTGATCCAGTCCAGTCTACTCTGACCGATGTTGGCAATTTTTTCATCTACCTGTTCAACTCTGTCCTCACAATATCCACCACAAAAGCTACCGATCAGCTATTGCAGCCATTCAAACAGGTTTTTTTCCAACAATTTTTTCTACAACCATGCCGTGGGTCACCGCCTTTGTGGAATGCTCATCACAAAGCCTCCAACTTGTGAGCTCTTCCATTTGTGGGATCTTCCGCAGGTTCTTTGGGAGCTTTCACATTCCCCTGATGAATCCTCGAGACAGACATCTTTGTTTAACCTATCAGTCAAACTAGCCTTAGGCCTACTACTACCAGTTGCCATGTCCCGACAACGAAGCGAACTGCAAGCTTTATCAATTGATCCCGGAAATATTCGATGGGAACCAGTAAGGTTTGTTCCTCAAACCTTTTTCCTCACAAAGAACCAATTGGACTCCTTCACTCCTGATATCTTTGTTCCATACATTCAATCCCACTCATATGGCCTCTGGAAGACAAGAATATGTGGTGCCCTGTTTGAACTCTGAAATGGTACCTCAACAAGACAGCACTATAATCAGGGGAGAAATGTGGCAAGTCCCTTCATCACATCAGATCCCCCCTCCTCATCGTCCATGCTTCCTGAGAGACAATCGCAGGCTGAATCGTGACAGTCATTTAGTCTGCGATTCAAAACTGGCCGACTTCATAAAAGCAGGATCCTAGGGTTAGAGTGCACAATGTCATAGCAGCAGCAACCCCCATTGTGGGCCTACTTTAAGGGAGTTCACTAACTGATGTTTTACAAGCAGCGTGTTGGAAATTCTTCAGCACATTCTTATCCTGCTACCGTCATGACATCCTCCAATCGGCTTTGCTGATGGCAAGAGATGTATCACCGAGCCTCATATATCAGCCCTCAGTATCCTTAATACAAGACAGAACACAGGGTTACGGTAAGCCCATCTCTCCTCGCTTACCCAAATCACCTTACTCCTGATCATTGATGCATATTCATAATGACCAGTGTATTTATCAACCCTTGCTCAATCCTGTTTTACAACATACTGTAGCATCTTGCAGGCACCTCCTATTTTCTGGTGCTATTCTGCAGTGCTCTACTATAGTGCGCTGCAGATTCCCCCACCCCCCCACACACAGAGCAGACATAAAGGTCTACTTGTGAATACTTACCGATAGAACAACCTGCCCTCCTCCCCCACAGGTCATCTCGACTGATGCAGACTCCTATCTGCCGTAGCTCTCAAGAAAAGGAGAAGATAAGATGGCGGGCATCCTGTAGGGCACGGTCTAACAGTGGGTAGCTTATTGTGTGAATTAACTCTTGTATTGCGGCCTATGGGGAAATATGCATAGGTAGTGGCTCTACGGGTGTTTGCGAGTAGACCCTTCCCGCACATGGGGGGGGAGGAATTTCCTTGAGTTGTCTTTTGATATTCATTCAGATGCAAGCCATGCAAGTTGGCCATGCATGGTTTTAACAAGCTGAAACTTAAAAAGTGGTATCTCTGTGGTAATCTTTTAGTGGCAAAGTGTATTGTGAATCACCGGTATTAATCATAGAGAGAATTACCTGAATATCTGCTTGCACAATTTCCTGTTTTTGACTCATCAGAGATCTGTAAGGATTTCTTCCTTCGAAGGAGAAGCCCAATTCTTAGTGTAGACCCTGTGTATTTAATCACCAGTGACAAGAGACGAGAGTATATGGACCAGGTAATGGCCGGTCATCAAAAATTAGGTTTTGTGACTGGGACTCTTAAGAAGTACTGCCTCACCCGTCTTTTTTAAGGGCTACACTGATTCCACCTTAAAAGGTTCAGTCAGACGAAAGAGTATACATCAATATGGTAGGAGTTCCATAATTGAAGGACATGTACATGTGCACCTCGGGAATGTGTGGGTGAGCACATTACTGTGCTCAGGGTATGCTGTGGGCCTGTCAATGGTATACTGCTGTCAAGAGAATCTATGCATCCTAGCCACTGAGGTTAAATCAAGTCACTGATATTACAGGGAACCTATCAAATGACAGGCAGCCAGGCCCTGTGTCACATCAAAAATCCAGCTTAAAATAGTGTTCTCATCAGTTCAAGAAAAAATGATATTTCCTTCATTATTAATGGAGAGTCCGCACTACATGTGCAACACAGACTTGCGTGAGTGAGGTACATACTTGTCATATGCAGTACAGTACCTTGATCTGGTTGCTTGCAAAGTTGTCCATCTTCCTGTCTTATTGTGTTTTCCCTGTGTACAGGCAACAAGAGCAACCAATCTGACTGTGTCCCTGCTGAGATTCTTGAAGACACTGAGGGATGACAGGCTCCTCCCAGACGTTATTCACAGGAACCCTGCCGTTACCAATACAGAAGACTTCTGGAAGTCATTCAGGTGTTTAAACTTATCTGGCTCCTGCATAAAATGATGTTTCTGGCATGAGNGAACGGTGCACACTCCGCAAATGGACAGCCAAGTGAATACTGTTGACAATGTAGTGGTTCTAGTCACTTAACTGTTTCCCTGTACTTTTGCAGTGGACTATATCTAGCGAGTTGATGTATAGGTCTGTCATTTGCAGTCAATTTCACAAAACATGGCATAGCTTTGAACCATGCGTATCAAAGCCTTGTGCCAAAACTTTGTGCTGTAGCTGCACAGTATATTTACATTTGATTGGACGAAAAGTTGCCTGGCTGTGCAACATTTTAGTTATATTACATTTCTCGAACAAGGATGATCACAGCATTTACATGTGCAGTTGCTGTTCCTCTGCAATATTACAGCACTGATTAAGACGCCAAATTACCTCCGCCCCCATTTTGAAAAGTCTAAGTCTTTTCTTTATTGGAACTGCACAAAAAATCTTGAAGTTCTGTCACAGCCAAACAAGCTTTGGAATTACCTCTTCTCAATAAAGTTGTGCATTTCTTGTATTTAAGCAATGTTAAAGTCAGCAATGATGAGCCTTAACCAGACACAATTAGTTAGTCATTCATTTTTACTTTGTTTGATGAAACTTACACCACCTACCTTCTTCTGTAGGTAGTCTGGTTTCAGCACGGGACCTCAAAGCTAACCTTCAGTACATTCTCAGCAACTCCAGCTCGTTACCAACACCAAAATACCCCATTGGCTACCTGACCTTCGAACACCATGATACCTGGGTACAGCTTCATGAGAAACTACTTTCAGTATGCCCAGGTCTGTGTAACATTGAAGAAAAAGCTTTCATACATCACTACTGATATCTCAGTGTAGAGTTCTTGCAGATTGTTGGCACCATTTTCATTTTTGGAAACCTGCAGCTGCTAGCTGTATCATAGTGGTACTTTGCCAGTTTTTATCAATTTCTAGAATGAAAGAAATACGTTGGAGTCATTGGCGTAGCTACGGTTTTACTAGTGGGGGGCACAGAGCAGGCACCATGCAGCATCGGGGGGGGGGGGGGACCGGCTTTCAGGAGGGGGGGGTTGTTTGGGGCAAGTTTTTGTTAGCCTTGTTCAATATCTATTTATCTGTTTCTTTTGGGGGGCCTGGGGGGCACCCCACACCACAGGTCGGAGTACAGAAGTGCAATTTGACTGTTAATTAGGAGGGTTATTGGTGTTTTGAATTTACAGGAAATAAGGAGAGTCTGAGACTGATTGACTCTGCCTTGCTCTGCCTGTGTCTTGATGGTGACATGGATGATGATAAGGAGCAGCTAATCAGGAGAGGATTGTAAAGAAATGCAGGGAACAGGTGTGCTTCATTTATCCTTTATCATATTCATGCCTAAATTTGCATCATGAGCTTCAATTTCAGGCTCAGCCAATGCTGTCTGTGGCCCAGCATCACAAAGTTAACATATCACGTTGTCATCATCAGCACTATACATGTGTAGTATGTGGTAGGATGACATTTGCCCAGTGATGGAGGGAAACATCACAATGGCGGTGTTTTGCTAGCTGCTTGCATACAATGCTGATAATTATGAGATGGCTCTTACCCTGAAAAGTGTACCAACACTTAGATCTGACCGTATTGCAGTGCATTTTTTTAAGTTGAGCCTTCAGTGACAATGCAGTTAATTACCTGGTAAGTTTGAATGATCATTTTGACACAAATCTTAATGTGACATGCTACATGGTGTTGCAAAATGCCCCTGCGGTGAGATGGTTACAAAAACGCGAAACAAAACAAAAAACCCACTGCTCTTTTTGGGTTAAGGCGTATTCAGAGCTCTCCTGAAATGAATTCAAAATGTTCCCGCTTATCAAACAAAGGAGAATCATAGTGTTGACCTCCAAAATACCTTCAGGAAGAAAAGTTAATAAATAGATTTTGCTTTTCTCTTCAAGGTGGTTTGACAAATCAATTNCAACTAATTGTAACAACAGATGGGCAGTCCCTGGTAAACATGGAACATTCCTGGGGAGATGGATTAACCCTGAAGAGGTTGATGTCAGACGTTTACCAGGATTCTGTGGCCCAACCAGCCATCTCAGCAGGGGATGCTACCGGTAGGGTAGACGGTGCAGAAAGCGTGAAAAGTGTCACCAGGGTATGCATTGTACTTAAATATTGGGCTAACAATCAAAGCTAACACTATGGTTGCCTTTTTTTCCTGAGTGCCCAAGAAAAGAGAAATATAGAGGTAGTTGTGATCAGGCTGAAGCACCCAAGCTGTGTCGGCTGCATTGGAATACAAGAAAGAATATACAAGTGTTGGCACTGTCATTTGCAAAAGGAGTTTCACCAAACACAATTGTCATGCAGATACTTGGATCTTTCTATATCCGACAGTTCATACAAATGCTCATTTCAATTTTCATGATCATCAAATGCAGTAGTACTTGAAACATGCTGTCTTGTTTAAGAGTCTGATTCTTACTTTATTACCATATTTGACTAGGAAAAAGGATACGACTACGGTATTTATGTAGCATCCAGTCCAGTCCTAAAGGAATGTTTAAGACTAGTGAAACACATATTCATTCTCTTGATCAAAGAATTATGAGGGTCAGTTGTGGAATTCAAATGGCGTTGATATTGTTTTGTAGTGCCCTCAATATGCAGATTTGTATCAATTTATTTCTTACTGTCTGCATGCATGTGTTGTGTGTACTCTTTATGTTTGGAGATTTGCTTTGTTTTAGCTCATGATTATAGTCTTTCTGCCTCACTCTCAATGCTTGACATGTAATTATATAACTCCTGTACATTTATTGTGTGGTATCAATCGTGTTTGCATTCTTTTTTTTTAACTCCTCATCTAGGTGGAGTTTCAGTTGGACTCTCTCCCGAGGAATTGAGGCAGCCAAAGCTAACTACGAGCTTGCTACCAGCCAACTAAATGTACAGTGCATGCAGTACAAGAGATATGGCAGTTCCTACATGAAAAAGTGCGGATTGAGCCCAGATGCCATTGCACAGCTGGCAATGCAGGTACCATAAATGCATAGTTCTGATATAACGTGCCCTGCAGTCGTCACTAATGAATAAAATCAGCTCAGTTTATCATGAAGGTTAACCGTTTGATGCCGGATGACATGTAAACACAGATAATTTTCCATGTTTTTTTCCATGGAGAGTTTGTGCACTTGTTTTAAAATCCTTTTTACATTCTGCGGTTAACGTACCTCGTATATTGATTGGTCAAAGTGCAATTGCAAGGTTGAAGAATTTGGGGATAAAAAAACCTACCCCAAGCAGCTTTTTCAGGTAAGAAAATTTAGTGTTAACTGGTCAAACACAGACCCCATCAAAGGTGGATCCAGGGGCCTAACGGGCCATGGCCTCCCAACCAATTTTTTTTTTAAATCAAAGTGAAAATAAAAAAGTGTCTTATATGGAGGTTGTTCTTTATGGACAGAGCCATTTTGTTAAGGTTTTAGGTACGGTTATGCAGACATCGTTTTGATTGGTTGTACTTCTCTGCTTCATGATGTGTCTGAATGTTTTCCTGAGTACAACAGAAAGTTTCATCTCAATGCTAAAAAGGTGATTTAAACCATCGCAATTACCCTGAAATGGTTTTAGCTAAAACGTTTTCTGTTTCAGTCAGTGCAGTTGAGCCAGAGTTACATAGTTGTTTCTGTGGCACGCTTTCGTTCATAAACAAGCGTGGTATCCAACATCTTGCAGACGCATTACTGTAGTGTTGACTCAAAACTGTCACATCTTGCACAAAAGACCACCAAAAGTCAACAGTCAACAAAAGCCATAGAAATGAACTGCAACGAAAGCATTCCTCTGTCAATGGTCAATGTTAACTTGTGACTGCTCATCAGTGAAAGGTCTAGTTATGGTCTGTCCTTGTATCCGCTCTGTTTTTATCAGCTCTGTAAAAGTGCAAAAGTTGTTAACAGTGTTGAGATTGGTTAAGTTTTACATACATAGCACTGTAATCTTGGCAAAACAGGTGGCATTCCATCGAGTTACTGGCAGGGTACCAGCAGTGACTGAAACCTGTAGCACGGCCATGTTCAAGCAGGGTTGCACAGAGTTCATCCGATCGGCCACATTGGAGACCAAGAGATGCACGGAGGCTTTCTACAAGAAATCTGGAGTCAGCTCAGCAGAAAAGAGAGCTCTGGTAAAGGCCTGCGTGAAAAAACTCCAACTGCTGTGCACAGAGGCTTCCATGGGCTAGTAGGAGGAGTCATATACACAAAGAAGTATTCTAGTGCAGGTCCTTACTTCAGTCAGGAGAATTACTGTGTTTGGATGGATCATTATGTCCCACACCAAGCGCATGCTGACCAATCACAGAGCCTCTTCTAGCAAGCCACAAAGGATTGTGGTAGTTTCCATTGGAGGATATGGAGCAGAAACACCAACTGAAATGTTCTGTTCACAAAAACTTGATTGACTGTGCAAAAAATGAAAGTATAGGTATCATGTTAATGTTAAAAAAAATCTACCAATGCGATATGAAATTCATCATTGCCAATGCCAGATGTGCAGGTTTCAGTTGATGAATGTTGAGGTGCAGGATTGCCCTGACTCAAGCCAGGCAACATATTGTGTGACTAAGCACCCCTATTTTGAGGTACGTGAGGATGAAAAAGGCCAGCACAGGCATGGAATTTTGGATCAAGATGGGGTTTATTTTCCTGCCAGAATAAAAGCCATACAGCCAGAAACATGCACCAGTATATGCTAGGCGTGATGTAAACATATGGCCTACCCAAATATTCTGACTGTATATTTTGACAAATATACATGACTTCATAATGTATATACATTCTGCAGCCAATTTCAGGTCACTACAGGCAATGGCATAACTTTATTCATATCAATTTATTGCATAAGTTACAAAATAAATTATGCCAAATATTCTCAAAAGCTATACACTGTTTAATGCATATCATACTTCCCAATGAACTTAGTTATGGCATAACTAGTGAAGTAGTTTTAGGTGGTGCAAGCAATGAATTAGAAATGGATAGCATCACTAAATACCATGTTTGTTGTAATGCACATTACGAGGGCCTGGGGGGTGTGGACTAGCTCTAAAGGTAATGTCCTACCCAGTATTATCCAGCCAGCTGATTAATTGGTTTCTGCGCCACAAGGTTCTCACTTATACGACCATAATTAACAGATGACAAAACTGTCTCTGTTGTTGGCTTCACAACCAAAGAAAGTCTTTATTGAAGCACTCCTCACAAAAGTAGGGTTGACAGACTGTCAAGCAGACTGATGGACTGTTGAAGAATAATCGGTGAGTCGATGGACTAATTTGATGGGTTGACAGACTAATTTGATGGGTCAATGGACTAATTTGATGGGTTGACGGACTAATTTGATGGGTTGACGGACTAATTTGATGGATCGATGGACTAATTTGATGGGTCAACGGACTAATTTGATGGGTCGACGGACTAATTTGATGGGTCATAGGTACGTCATACACCGTGGTTGCAGTATATAGCCCTAAGTTCTCTTAATCAAAACACAGCTGTTCAATAGCTAGGGCCACTCAAAGTGACCAAAATTACATAACACTTCCTTGAGTATAAACAGTCTGCATCCTTATAAACCCAAAACATCTTGGGTGACGGTCTTCACAAAAAATAATCATAAAATGACTTAGCACAAAGCAAAAACTCTGGAGATCTCTATTAGTGGGCATGTACATGTACTAACTTTGAAATCTGGCATACAAATAATGTAGAAACACTTGCAAAAGTCAGAGTGTGATGCTTCTTGGAATATAAATATACACAGTAATTCAGGGACTAAGCTGGATATGTTAAGCTTCTTTCCTACTACTGGCTACAGCCGCGTTGACAATTAAACACAGATGCCACTGGAGCTATATAATAGAACAGAAATTTAGCCTTGCAAGGTGTCCAAACATCATCAATCAACTAGGGCATTCTTGATTCAAGTGTACTAAACAAGGGTGTAATCGGAACAAGTGGAAGAGAGTACACTAAAATTACTTGAGATGAATGCAATGATTGGGACTGATCAAGAAACAAGCAATACAAGTCCATCAACATTAGAAGTAAAACATTTA